CACTGGTGGCACTTCAAAACTTTCCTCTGTGAAAACAAGGCAAATATCTTTGGCTCCATTGTGGTTTCTTTGTTTCAGTTCATTCGCCTTCGCTAAAAATAATTCCCCAAATTCTTTACACCCTTCAGTAAGGTAGCCTTTGTAATAAACTGAAAGCGCAAACCAAAAATGTTCCATTGCACCTCAGGTTTCACTTTTTTTGGGAGGGGGAGGGTAACTGCCAAAATAGGATCTGGTCTGAAACTAATTTCTGTGATTTACAGTGCCCTCTTCCTCTTTCCCTTGTTGACTGGTGCTTCAACAAGTTGGTCACAGCATGTGAATAGAATTTTGATAAAGTCCCACGAGAGGGCAATCTCAGTTAAAAGAAAACGTAGATTGGTTGGCTGGATAATAAATTGTGATTCCTACTGAGCCATTGAGGGGAGGAGAAGGAGTGGCCTGGGCGTAGACAATAAAAACATATTATTTGGTGACGAAATATTTCTGTCACAAAATCAACGTTACACAGTAAAGCTTTAAAAATGATGTGGCATCATGTGGCACGCATGTGTATTAAAAACAAGGGATTTCTGAGTTGCATTATGATTTGTTCAGTAAAATTCCATGGACTGACTTCTTTTGGAGCTCTCGCAAATACCCCCCTTGGTGATGACAAGGAGACTACAGACACTTGAATTGGATTGTCATGTGCACCTACTATAATCCCATTGAGGTGCTACAGGAACCTGTTTGTGCACATTTGTGTGAATGCCACAGCCAAAGTTGTTAGCATGATGTCATAATAAGATCAAGCCAATGTATGAGAGATGTGTCCTACAAGTTGACTCTCTCAATTGTGCCACACAGTGCTACCTAAGGTTCCTGTATGGAGTTGTGGCCACAACTTACACTGTTACAGTGGCCGTACATGTAACTAGAACATGGGGTTACAAACCAAACGTACAGCAGGCTGATGTTGCTCCAAGGAGGGTGTCTGGGGTTTAGGCATGGATGGAGAGGAAAGCTAATGAATTCAGACAGCTTTCTCAATTTCCTTCCTTCTACATGTACATGTATAGTGTCCATGGCCCTCTTCCTTCAAAGACATGCAACATTTTGCTACAAGTGAAAGATACACCTGTACATTGCTGTCATCTTGCATCGCATGAGTAAACTGACTTTCCGAAATCCTTCCCCCCCCCTGGCCATGCAGAGGGGAAATGTTCAAAAGAGGACAGGTGGGAGTAACAGATGTGGTTGCAAGTGCCAAGATCCGCTGACAACCTGACATTATGATCGGCAGAAGTCAGTCTATGGAAGGGATGCAGCATCATTGACTGCTTACAAAAAATTGCCAAGAATGAGGCTAAAATGATAAGGATTTGAACTTTAACAGTCCAGATCACCAAACAGGTGCTCTTCCAACAATCTGTTCAGCCTTATATTTATAAGAGTTCCTCTTTACACAGTGGCGGGGGACTATACAAGCCTGAAGTCCTTATGCTACTCTATCAGTACATGTACCTGTATGCTAAGCAGGCAGGGAACACATCTAAAATGCCACAGAAAACTACCTCACAATAAAGTTGGAATTAGACAGTGAGAACTCAGCTAATCAACGTTACTTTAGCAGACATCTTGATAGATCAAAGAATAACTAATCTAATTCTACATCTCCAAATGAAGCCACTTATCCTTGACTCCTGACCAGACAAGAGGAAGGCATGCTTCAGTATTTCCAAGGCACAAAGAAATAAAGCTGGCGTCGTGGAATACTTTGTCTAATGAGTTCAAAGATTGCTGAAATTTACACGGCGTCATTGACTCATACTCTTCAAGCTGCAATCACATAAGCCCCATCAATCATATGTGTGGGTGAATCAGTGTGATCACATTATTCAGAAAGAAGAACACTGAAGCAAGCCTCAGATTTGCAGATCATCACACCATAATCAATCAGTTTGAAGAACACCCAAAATGAGATTCCTGTGGGGGCATTCATACATCAAAGAAAGAAAGAAATCAAAGACAGATCAAATTAAACATTATAAGCATTTCAGCTTCTTTTAACAGTTCCTGCTGAGTAAAAGACAGTCAGTGGGTTGTATCTTGTCACAGATTTTCTCGAAAATCCTGCTAGACATGACTGATGCTTGCAGATGAAGCAATATTTGCCAATTTTGAAGTACATGTGCAAGTATGTTTACTTCTCTGGCAGGTACATCTTCTTCTATGAAGATTGTAAAACAGTATTTCATTACATCACTGCCAAAAGTGGTTTTCTTAACATGGGAAATTTTCGTATTGAGAAATGTTTGCTTGTCTCTTTCCTAAAAACTGTTCATAGGAGTGGAACAGGAAACATGTACTCATAACAAGCATTAGGCCTCCCCTAGACAATCATTTTGGCAGTGTTTTGAATGGATAATGAACTGTTCACTGACAACCACTCTGAAGCTACACATGATGTAACACATGCACACATATGAAGTTACAGACATGTTCAAGTAACATCAAACAAATTTTGGGCCCATTGGCCACACACAGCCCAAAAATATTTCCAGCCAAAACCTGTTCACGCCTAACAACACACACAATTATTGGAGTAATAAAATGGACAGGTCAACAAATTTATGCTATTCAACAAATGCATACATGAAGTCTCTTTTGCACTGCACTTGGTGGATAAATGTCAACCTCCCCCAAAAGATAAAAACATTCACTAACAACAGGACAGGAAATGCTCCAGAAACACACATTCCCCAAGTTCAAGTGCTTGCCAGTGCTTGCACTTTTGGCTGAGGCCATAGGGGCAGCTGTAGGGCTAACCCTTGCCCTCCAAGCAAAAGACGTATGGCATGACAGCACATCCTGTCCCATAAGTGATGTAACACCCTTCAGTCAACTTATCGGATGCCCTGCTGGGTTCTGTCCTCAGTCGTCTAGGGTCCTCTACTCATCTGTTTTTATGGTGAAGTGGTCATTCTTTGGCTCCTATCCCATAATAAAGTATAACAAAATAACAATTTTTCTTGATCTAGCTTCTATTAAAAGGTTATGGGCAAGAGTGGTTGGAGATGGTGCATGGCTGACTCAGAAAAAATAAAGAGGGCCTTTCCATAGCAGGAAAGCACAAACCAAAACCCTTGTGTGAAACTAAACAAACAAATGGGCATGCATAACTTTCACTCAGGCATGCAAAACTAAAAATATGATACAATGCCCTTCAAAACATCAGTGCAATTGGCTCATTTTGTTCCCAAACATACCTCGTTTTTTACATTTTTAGTTTCACATGTAAATGTAATCAGCCATGCTTCACTTTATGTTGCACAAGTGTCACTTAATAAATATCAAATAGAAGGGAATTCAAACAACTTGACAAAATCAGGAAAACGGCTAGCTCACTGTGTAATAAAATATGGCTCGGGGAGGGCTTGTGCCCCACACTATAGACCTTTATCATGATACTGCTATGATACTGCTATGTTGCTTTGAACGATAGAAAAGGAAGATGGCTGTCCTACGATAGAGGTCTAGAGTCCTTTTTTTGGGGGGGTGTGGCAATTCAGAAACCCTGCGCATTAATTTGGGTGATGCCTCCCCAAGGTCTTGCCATACTCTAGATACCTTTAATCTTCAGTTAGCAAGTTCACCAAGCCTGAAGTATCAGCTACATCACCACAATTTCTCTTGTCCCCTTCCCTAGTGGTGTAACATCCCCGAGAATAGGGAACCAAAAACCCCAACCAACAGACACCTTGCTGGGATCTGTCCTCAAACCCCAGGGTCAGTGGGCCACCTGTCCTCCTACAGTTTATGCAAAACTCACACACAACTCCTATAATTCTGTCAGCCAGAGGAGAAGCCAGACAAAATTACCAGCATAATTGATGGTTTATTGGGGTTTACCAAAGGGGGTTTATGCTTCAGGGTGTTGTTGAGCCTGCTGGCTGGACATGCCTTTGAACTTGGGATTGGGGAGTTGTGGTTCTCCAGGGACGTGGTGTCTCAGGTTATTATGGGATAACAGGGCAGAGTTGTTCCGTAACATGACTTCTGGTCTGAAGACTTTGAAAAAAACTCAAACATTCACCAATGTGCAAAGCCCATAAACCTGGCATTTCAAACCACAGTCGCATGATCATTAAAAAACCTTTTTAAAAAATTTTACTGCTAAATGACAGGTAAACAGGTATTGATACTCAAATCTGTCTCCACAAATACCAAAACACATTTCTGAAAACAAGGTCCAACTTTTAAACTAATTAATTCCCAAAAAAAATGAAACATAGAACTCCTGCGTTCCAAACAATACTTCTTAAATAGTTTCTGGTTACAGCAAAAGCTTTTCATTATATACATTTCATTTTCTTGCAAAGAAACTACATGTATCATGTAGGAAAAGATCACACAAGTTGGCAAAATGCTTTAGGTTTTGCTTAGAACTTCTTCTTATATAATGGTAACCAAATTATGGGGTACTTGGCCATGAGGGAAATGCCACTTACATGTACTTCCAGTAAAAGCACACACCTGTAGAAATCTGCCCAACACCACAGCAGGTGCATCTACAGGTGGGAAGGGAAGGGTTGTTTTACGACATGCTCACTTTGTTCACATTCATTAGCCATTGGGCAGCATTGACAAGTACAAGTGTGCAGTTTGACTGGTTTGAGGGCAACCTGTCCCGAGACACTGATACACGTATCTGTCAGGTTGTTCATGACCATGGTACTTGTGTTCCTCAGCAAGATACAATACCATGATCTTCTTCCGCCAGGGACAAATGGCTAACTAATGACTGTGGATTTGGGCAAGGGCTGCTATCAATGAATTGTGTTCGGTATGCTGTGTTCACTATCAGGTATTGCATCAGAGCAGAGACCACATGATCTGGGGTAAAATTATGTGCAGGCTTGAACTAAGTGCTGTAATGGGGACCTGTTGGAACTTACTGACAAAAACTTCTTTACTGACAAACGCTTCATTCTTTTCCCTCTGCTTGATCATTTCAGTGACAATGTTGATCGCAAAAAGAGCTGCCAGGGAGAGTGCCAGCACACGTCCTGCATGGCCTGTGAGTTTGTGGCCCTCGAACCGGACTGTGGGCGCTGCGGACGAGATGACTTCCGTTGCATGCGGCAATTTGCAAAGTGTATAAGACGGCAGGTGTGCTCCAAGGCAATCTGGCCGTGTGCCAGCATAGACCAACAGGTCAGTACCATTTCAGCTATTACTGATCTCATGGCCAAGTGAACAGGGGTAATAGATATGCAAACCATTTGGAGACTCCTAGTAAGGTTACAAGTGCTATATGTGTCGGCATCCTAGTCTCAAAAGGCAATGGTTTGCGTGGGGGGGGGGCAGGGTAGAATCTTGCATGGCTATAGAGCCCGATTCTGGAGTGGCAGTCTTTTTTACACGTCGTGCAGACGTATCTAGTTGGATCACGCGTGAAGGTCGCACGCTGTTGCCGAGCTGCTCTTTTCAATGTAGCCTGGAGTCTTGCTTCAACTTCAGCTTTTGAGACCCCATCTTTGATGAACTTCACAAATCATTACTAAGATTTTCCTTTGACTTTGACACCATTTGGTTGCACCCAATTTTGTTTTTGATGCATTTAAGCTTACCTATGGGTTTCCAGGCACTGACCAGAAGAATTCTCAGTCTCACCACATTGAAACATTAAACTTCCCAGACAGATAAAAGGGCAAGCAAGTGGCAAATCCAGGTCTTGGGTCTTGGGTGGGGGGGGGATGGAATGGCAATTTTTCGACAAATTCATGACCAAATCTTTTCAATCCATAAAAAGAATCCTCATTAACCCCCCAACCTCACAAGGTGCTAGTTCCATTTCTGAAATGCCAGCACTTTTTATACCTAAAAAAAATCACCAAGAGGGTAAGGCCCCCCCCCCACTGTCTGGACATGCCACTGGTTTAAGCTCATAATAACAGGACAACACAAGAATGAGCAGTAAACAAAATCTGGAAAGAAATTAAGTGCCCCTGAGCATGCTGTTTGCAGAAATTCAATACTTTCCAATTTTTAAAGCTGAAAAAATTGATAATCCCTTGGGATTTCAGACTAGCAGCAAAGGCCATGTCTGATTTATTCACAGTTGCTTTGTCAATGGCTGTTCTCTGTGGCATACCAATTACAAAAATTATAGCCATAGCCACAGGATACCCAATTTGGACATGGCTAAATATTATCATCCATATGATGATAAATGAATTATGTCATGAACTATATACTGGCTTAATTTACTGGGAAGCATAATAAATAATTTACAAAAAACTTTGTAATGGCTTCCAAATCCGAATCACTTTCATGATTATTTCTGGTATTTTTCACTTAAGCATCCAAACTACACACAACTTGACATTGCAAGACATTACCATTCATCAAATGTTTTCATGTTTAATAATTGGTGAAGCTAAACACAAACCCTTATGCTATTTGGATCTGCATGCTAAAAATGTTTCACATGTTCACTCTTATTGGAATTTCTAAATATAAGGTCCACATACTGACATCCCAGCCAAATATACAAATCTTCAGAGATATTCTGCCCAAAGTAAATATGGGGGACTACAGCTGAGCCCTGTTGACGTAAATCGTAGGCAGGCCACCACAATACTCAACAATGAATGGGCGCTTGATATTAGATTAAGTGCCCACTTGCTTTGGAATGCTCCCACAATTTGAAGAATCTGAGATGTTGGAAAGAGTAATGAGGTCTCGTTTCCCAGCTTGCCGTAAAATGACCTGAATACCTGACAAATAGCTCTTCAGTTGACCCAGGACAACCCCTCCATTTCCCTTGACAACCTCGGATGGTTCTGGGGTCAAAATCAACACACCATTTTCCTTTTAATAAAAAGTTCTTCTGTTTGGAGAAAGTGGAAATAAAAATGAAGTGAAAATAAACAGGTTAACAGTTAGTGATTCAAGCCAAATGGAAGATTCACAGAAGTTGTGACTCTGTTGTTTTCTCTTACTGACCAATCCTGCACATGGTTCGTCCGAACCGATTCAAACCCTTCAGAACAAATTGTGATTTAACATTTTCTAACAATATATTCTCAACTTGAACTGCCAGGTAGGTCTAAGCATGCTCTTTACAATACTAAAATATGTGCACAGTCTTTATCCATGGACAAAAATGGTAGCCTAGCCGTCAAGTCCATTGAAACTTATCAACTTCCTTGCCAATCCATCATAAGCCCATTGCAAGTCCTATAATCTCAGGCATAACATTGTTGCGATGGACGTACTCAACGACAACACAAGGCCCAGGAGGACCACGATATTGAGTAGAAAGTCCACTTTTTCCTTTGCTTTTCTGCATCAATCTTTTCTCATTCAATCCCGTACAAACTTAACATTGGCAGAAGGCTGTACAGAGGCAATCACATAGGCTTGTGAAAGGTTTTTCATGCACAAAGAAAATCACGACCCTATTGAAAAATGAATTTGGCACCATATGAGAATTCCTGAGACAAAGGTGAAATCGTAAACAAACCGCTGTTAAAATTCTGATGTAATGCTACCTTATAGACTGATTTGCTGACGCCATTACTGCGGTGTCCCCATCACTCAGACGTGCATTCCTAAGCTTGACGAGCACGTGATTTTGGTTAGCAGTGCGCTCCCATTGGCTGATGAGGAAGCATTCAATGTGCATGTCTTTTGTTCACGCATGTGGGGACACCGCAGTAACGGCTCCTGATTCTTGTCACCAGATCAGTCTATAAGTGACACTGCAATTGAAGAGCTTCGATGCAAATGCAGTTCAAAGCCAAAGTTACAAAAATGGAGAAAACCCATTGACCTACAGTGTAATTTATTATTTCTTCTGAACAATTTAAATTCTTTTTCAATTAAAATTGCCAAAAGTGTTCAATATATGATGAAATAAGCACTCCACATTTATATACAAAGTCATGCTATCTGTGTCTTTTAAACGCTGGGTTTCTTAAAAGGTGAAAAATGGACTTACCTGTTTTTTGGCATCTGAACCGTTCAATTTTTATCCATGAACTTTCAGTGCCCTCAGAAATGTTCCATTTCAAAACTGGCTAACTCATTTAAAGAAAATATGCATCAATGTGTTGTTTTACCCCAAATGCTTCATTCTAAGCCTTTAGGGCTTTGTTTTATCCATCTCCTTTTGTGACTGCCAGTCACGTCCAACAGGTGGTTGATGTTAATCATGACAAAGTGACAAACATGTGTGACCAAACACAACTCCAACAACAGCAGCATGGGGAAAAAAACTGGTTTCTCTAGAGATTTCTGAGCGGTTGCCTTTGAAATGCTCCAAACCATGGGCAAAATGTAGACAGTCTATGGCATTTAAGGCCGATATCCTCTGTAATTAAGCTGCCAACACGAACACCTCAAAAAATGCAGTAATGGACACAGATGACAAGTTGGCGGTTCTTGAGAGGCTTTCGACAGCTGCTACAAATATGAATACTATTCTATGTTGACATTATTAAACAGAAGTGACTTTATACACTTTGCACATTTTAAAAACTTCTCTCTTCAGAGAGTACAAAGCTTATTTGATTCCATCCACCTCCGTCAACACAAATGGAGAATACATAAATAACAAGTACCTGCCATAAATTCAAACCAAAAGAATGACTTTTAACAAAATTACCAACTGAGGGGATTCATTTCAGTGATACAAAAATGCCACAGGATCAAGACTTGACATTAAAATGACTAACTGGCACGTGACTGACATTTTCAGGAACTTCAAGTATTTGATAGCACGTAACATACGAGTGCACTGAATAACAGTTGGGGGAAGTGCAAAGCTGAGTTTTAAGAAATGGCAGGCCATTAAAGCATCATGTCTCATGGGGGGGGGGCATTTGAACTCCCTCCCTCCCCCCAAAAATGAAAATACAGACACAGAAATGACCAAAAAGGAGTAAAGGAGGGGAAAGTCATCAATTGGTGTGAAAATACCCCGGTATTCACCCCCATCACCATTTGTATTGATTCAGTTTGTTGCTGATGAGTAACTTGCTCCTTTTCTGCGGCGACGCCCATGGGCTGAAGGTGTAGATGCTGGTGGCCGCATACTTGCTTACAGCCACCAGTCATAAAGTCTAGGGGAGGGGAATTGAGCTGGTTCATGGGTGCACATCGTAATGCCGGCAAGGGCCAAGTAAGGCTGGCAGTATACAAAGGAAACCATGGCAACTGCTAGCCATTGGCTCCCATAGGTCCAAGTGTTATAATCATGTAGTCACTCCCTTTGTTCTGTTTGTGTTTTCCATATTCCAGGAGACATCAGGGAAGTTCCAGTGCCGGGTACCAGACTGCATCCCAGGATAGACAGTGGTTGGCACATTTCAGCTTTATCGCCCGCACACTGGCATGAAAGAGGAGTCTGGATGATAGATTTCCTTGTTTTAGTCTCTACACATAAACCGTGAATGTATTTTTAAGAATTTGCAACACTTGACTCTAATCAGCTTTGTATCTTTTGTTTAAATACCGGTACAAGAGACCAATTGAAGATGCTTATGTTCAGTGCCTACAAGTGTTCAACTGTTTTTGTGACATACAGTTGACAGTGGTTGTTAGAAATCAATCAGTTATGAAAGTAAAAAATTGATTGGTTTCTTGTATTTACCAGATCATTGACTATAAACGTATTCAGCTATTTAAGTAAGACTTTTGTATTTCATGACACACTGTCATTTTGTTTTTTAAGTAGATTACGAAGATTTTTCTTTTCAGCTTTTCGGTATTGCTTCATTTGTTTTTGTAATAAGAAATCAGCTTTGTAAATACAAGATTGATGAATATATTTACTTTGTAAAAGTCACGCAAACATGTTTTATCTGATCTTTTTCTTCTCCATTTTATATTGACACTTTAACTGATATGAAAATAGTCCAGCTTTTACAGAGTACAATTACTGTCTTTCGTAAAGTGTATATGGGTGTTTGGATTAGAAAACTTGTCACAGCAAAGGCCTGGCATATTGTTCACATGACATGATATGATTCTACTTATTACGAATCTTGAAATTAAGGGGTGGTTGAAGTGCAGCTACATGTTAGCTATAGGCCTACATGTACAATAAAAACTTGTAGGGTAGACATTTAACATTTAATAGTTCTTCACTCGATATTAGCAGATACTGAGGTTACCCAAAACTATTTCTGGTTTAATCTCACTTTTTTGGGAGCTTCTGAAACAGACTGAAAGGTCTCAAACAGTGGACAGAATTACAACTTGTAATGCAAATCCTTTTAAATTTATTGGTGTTTTGCACATTATGTGCACAATGAGCTCTTTTGAGAATAGTATATATCAAGATTTTAGGATATTTTGTCTGGAGTGCTCTGGTAATGTTTTAAAAAATAACTAGTAGAACAAGCTTTAAAGCTTGAGTTAAGCATTGTTCCCTTTTTAAGCTTTATTCTGTAATTATTAGTTTTTAGGTTTCAATTAGGAATCAACAAATACACTATTTATCAACAGTGTGTTCACAAAAGCAATGTCAGCGCAAAAGCAAGGACAAACTGCTATTTTATAATCAGCACATTTCAATCAAAAGGGTGTGGCGTCCAAACTTTGCCTGTTCTGTTTTCACAATTTTAACATCTTCCACTACAGAGAGGCTTTAGCAGCTAAGCTCAATAAGCATCCAGTGACATGAAGCCAAAACGAAGAAGTTTTGACACACTTCATGGCCTCCAAATCATTCTTCAGATGGAGAGGAAAGCTGAGTATGTAAACCAAGCTGAGATACGTAGAGGACCCATTTCAAATTTGCAGAAATAATGTGTATGCATACCAAACCATTCAAAGAGTATCACACCATTTCTTTTTCTTTTACTTCATTTCAACCTCTCAAAACCTCTGTGTGATTTTCACAGACAGTTTGCAAACGTTTTTGTCCAAGTTGAATCTTATTTTTTCTCTTGTAAATAATAGCTTTAGGACAAGACAGACATTTTCCTGCCTTAAGATGGCTTAAAATTGTACATGTATTATTTTGATGGTACCTTGAACCAAGATCAGTATACCAAAGTTTTTACATTAAAGAACAAAATATATTGTTAAAATTTCAAAGAAAAAATATTGCTTGTTTATGTAGAGCTTTAGAGGGACTAAAGCATGTATGCCAGTCTTGGGTCCTCTGTTTTATCAGGAAAGGAGCTGTTGACCAGATACATGTAGGTATTGGTAACGATCCCCAAGAGAGATAATTTCAAGAATCCTCATGGACTTTGGTAGGATTTTCACACCTCACACCTCTACGTCATCATTTCACAATGTCCAATTTGTTGCAACTTTAACAGAATGACACAGTGACAGGGAAACAATAAGAAAGATTCGTGATGAAATCCAAGTTCTGTTGAACTGAAAACTATATGTGAGGGCACTGTAAAGCCTACTCCGAAAAGTCAGAATACACCACAATCAAACAAGCCTTGTACATTGCTCCTACATTGTAAGCAACATTTTTACATTTTTGGCACTAGGATGCTTAGCCATACACAGAGCATATAACCCAGTGCATACATCTGGACCCAATTTCATGGCGTTGCTAAGCACGAGATACTACGCTTACAGAGGCTACACGAATATCATGGAGACCGTTTAAGCACAGCACACAGCACATTTAGCCTACATTGGAAAAAAAATTGGCTTAATAGTGATATGACAATGGAAATATCCATGCGCGCCCATGCAATTTTAGCACAGTAATTGTGAAACATTCATCATGAAATACACTTACCGTCGAGCAATTTTTGGGTAAGCAAAAAAGTTTGCTTAACGGTAAGCAGCATCATGAAATTGGGCCCTGTTGTAGGTCCTCTGAGACCCTTAAGTGACCATAAAATTCCTGTGGAGTGCAGTGAGCCACTTCAGTATTCCAACAGCACATACTTATAATGAAATGCATCCAAGCTCATTCTGGTACAGCAATCAGCGCATGCAAAGTATGCACCATCAGCATGACCATACAACATGCTTTGTTCTTGAATGTCCTTGCCTTTTTTGAAATACTGAACTAGCTCATGGTCCATTCAAGTCAATCATGCGATTGGCCCCTCAACCCAAGGATGCATTTACTCAGATGGAACTGTAATATTTTAATTGCTTAAAGTTTGCATAAAGCAACACTTACATATTTAATTTTACATTTGAAGACTAAGTGCATGTATCTTTGGTAGTACAAATGTTTTGAAACCAAATTACTGACATTAGAAAAAATGTTCCAAAGTTCAGAACCATGTTCCCATTACGTTGAAAGACTGGTGGCTAAATACTGATCTCGGATGTAACCAACTTCCTTATTAGCAATAAGCCTTTTGCGATAAAATCTGGTACACTGAGTTCTTTAAATTTATGTGAACATAACAACTTGAATTCTCCATACTAAAGACGCTTTTGCTATACCTTGTGATTTGGGGCAAGCTTTTGCTTACATGTACATAAGAGACGCCTTCACCAAAACACCGTTTTCAATGGATAAGAAGGGCTCAAAGGAACCAGTCCATTCCAGAGATGGTGGTCGCTTTGCAAAAGTTTGCCAGAGTCTTTTGTCTGAGGAATTCAAATTATTACATTTATGTGTAATCAGATAACTCAGTATACTAGATTTAATTTAAATTTAACTCGTAAAGACTATTGTCAACATACTTTCAACCACTCCTGTCCGATCATGTTCAAACTGAACTGGGAAAGAGGAAAGAGATTTATTTTATGGGATCAAGGGAGAGCCATTGAGGGTGAAAAAAATCCACCTCCTGTCTCTCATCAACTGTATAGATTCAGGGCTAATGCATTATTTGATAAAATTCAGAAATTGACAACAAATCTGTTGTGAACAACTTTTTATTTTCTACGTCCTCCCCCCACTAAACTACTTACTGTACTTTTTCTGTTTGTACCAAAATGTTATGGTTTTTATGCCTGTATTAGACTCTTATGTTATTAACAAAGTGTCGAACACGTTTTCTTTTAAACTTGGCCAAGTTTAGCCATTGCTGTAACACTCTTCTTGAAGAGTTGCAAGCCATGTTTGGATGATCATAGATTGAATTAAAAAGAATTCAGAATGCATATTGTGAGTGATATCTCATTTTTTGCCAACTCTTTGGTTTTAAAAGGATCTTAACCCTAAAAGAGCGGGGGGAGGGGAATTCATAGCTGCCCCTTCCCACCCCTGTCCAAGATCTTTGTTATTCCAGGACAGATTTTATATAAAGACATTCTTATGAGCACAAACGTGAAAATGGCACTGGTTTGATGTTTTAAATGGTCACACAGAAAGGGGAATCTTGGGCTAACCAAATAGTTATTCCAGGACAGATTTTATATAAAGACATTCTTATGAGCACAAATGTGAAAATGGCACTGGTTTGATGTTTTAAATGGTCACACAGAAAGGGGAATCTTGGGCTAACCAAATAGGAATAAGGTAAATAACACAGTTTTGGATCTGATATTGGCTGTAAGATTTGGTGGCTACAGCTCAGTATTGCAAAGTTATAACACTGTACTGAGCTGTTGAAAAATAAATGAAAACTAACTTGAACTTTCAAAAGACGAAATCAGTGGCATATACTCCGCCCCTCCCCTTGTAGTTGATACTACAACTGACTATAAAGTTCCTCTCAAGAAAATGTAATTCTCTCCCTGTTTCCCACCCCTTCAGAAGATCTTAATTTATCAAAGAGAGCAAATGGTTGCTGTTATTGCACAGGTATTCTTGAGGGAAATGTCTCAACATTTAAAGAAATTGATACTTGAGGCAAAATTTCTGGGGGTTGGTAAGGCCTCAAACAAAACCAAAAGAGGACATTTTTAGCTCTGAGTATATCAAAAAGGTGCAGGTGGGTGGACGGATGGGTTAGTGGTTGGTTGGTTGGTTGGTTGGTTGGTTGGTTGGTTGGTTGGTTGGTTGGTTGGTTGGTTGGTTGGTTGGTTGGTTGGTTGGTTGGTTAGAGGAACATGCCAATTGTTTCCCCTGGATGTACCCTTGACCACATACTAGCCACTCGAACACACTGATGTTGGGAAGTGTTCCGTTCAATTGCAACTACCGCCCCCTTCAACACAAATCCATTCTTTTTATTTTCCATACTCTAAATGAATGAAAACATCTATTAAATTCTGGTCCACTCATCAAAGGTCCCAAATCTATAGCAAATTTCACCATGCACACTTCAGATAAAAGAAACCTTAGGAATACTTTCCATCCCCATTTAAAGATGCGTAAAATAGCAGTCAGGGAATCCTATGTGTAACTTTACAGCTGCGGTGTCTGTTAACTCAGGCAACATCCCATCACATCAAACCTGTTCCTTATCCACTTCCTACATCTAATCTAAATTATTTCAATGTTAAAGCGGCCCCATCTATGGTAATTACTCCAAATGTTTACTCCCAAAGGCCACGCGATATAGCCTATCGCTCCTATCGCGCGGCCGCGATTTTCTAAAATAACATGTTTGCCATCTTTAGGGAAGCTCTTAACATCTTGAGGATACGCTTATTCAAAGATTAGGCAGAAGAGGGGAAACACTCCAAAGTAAGATCGGCCACTTGAAGCATTAAGGCTGGCTGGAGGAAGACCAAGATTTGTTTGTAATCACAAACTGAGAGCAAAGTCAGTGAGAATAATTCACTGGTAAAATTTCTTTTAAAGGTGCTATCACGACTGTCTTCAACCATTCAGGATCACTATCATAATGATATTAGCAGTACAGTAGGCAAAACAAGGCAGCTAATAACATCTTCAAGTGTGATTGTGGGGGCTCTACTCCAAATGCTTCGTGGAGGCAATATCTTTTTGCTACAATCATCAACAGAATCCAGACTTGTAAGACCCTGCATCCTTAATTCAACATGGCTACCTTAATGCAAAAGACACCACAGGAAAAAAGGCAGAAGTGCATTTTATTTTAGGATTGTCAGCTTCTTATCACAAAGCAAACAGAAATACCGGTAAGTGAACTGGTATTATGGACAAAAATACAAGAATAAAGTGTCTCCTGTGCTATGTTTTAGGAATTTCTGCATAAAAATATGGTTGGAAAACATTACAAAATAATTGAGATATCTGACTTTTGAAAGGACTTCATTTAGCTCTTGAAAATGAAAACACAACAGCAATGCATTAAACATCAGACAAGGATCATCAATGACAACGGGGAATGAAACGGAGAAAACTGAATTTCTTCATCTCATTTCATGAGGTGCTCATTTGGTGTTCATTCTGTTTCCGAATAATGGCACTTTGATTACCTATTGAGGGGTTACAGAGGCAACACGTGTTGAAATATATATAGACGTTATGGGAACCAAAAACATGAGAACCAAATTTAGTCCCCACCACTCAGTCCTGACTTTACCCTCACAATTATTACACCCCTTAACTCAGGGCAGGCCTTCCAACACCGGTTTAAGTCATGTATCCAGTGTGTGGTTAAGTGGGTAATTTTGAATGAGTTCTTTCCCCACATCCTCCTCTCTCCATCCCAATCGATTCAAACACACACAAGTTTGGATGGGTGTGTGTGTGGGGGGGACCAGTTCTCATTACAAGCACACACTATGCTGCACAAAAGGTTAAAACCATACTCAGCTTTGTCGGCAAATAAGCTTGTAAAAACTGGGCGGGATTTGCTGGACAAACAAAGAATTGCTGGCAGTACGGCTCAATGCAATTGGAGTGAGGGCAACCCTTTACCCAATCCCCAAGACCCATTTAAAAATCTCAAGAACGAGGTATTAAAATCGCCAAAGTATCCCACTGTCGGCAGGGTCCTTCTACAAACACTAGAGGCTTTCCAGTCAATACCGGAAGCAGGCTAGCACTTGTAGGCAAAGATAAACTGTTGAGAGAATTCTTAAAGAGGGAAGCCAAAACCTGGGGATAAAGAAAAATAAATCTAAGCCACTTCAGTGTCTCCGAGTGAAATGTCAGCCCATTTGAAGTGCTTTTTACAATGTGTGTCTGAAACAAGCGAAAGTTCAAGTTAATGGAATGTTAATTGTGTTGGTGGACACAAAGTGTTTATTTAGGACTTTGAAGGAAAGTTTGTGGAGCCAGAGCGGTTTTCTCTAATGTCTGAAGCGCGCAGTTCAGCGAAACTTCACAGAAACAGCTGGAACATCAACGAGTATATTGACCAGACATTTACTTTGCAGACTGGGCATTTATTTGTTGGTTATGTGGAGCATACACAATGTTAGAATTAAGCTGTCTGCTTTTTTTGAAAGCAGACTCCAGGAAGGCTGTATAAACTCAGTGTTCACTGGTCATTGGATTCTGTATGAAAATGAGATTGCAGTAACTACCAACAAAACATTCCCTCCAAAGTACGTTTACATCACCAGGCACTGCAAGAGAATTACAAGAAAACTAACCAAAAAATACAACAAAAACAAGGAAAAGATTTAGCCCAAAGAGCTCTCAGAGAGCAACCCAAACGAAAAAATACAGTTGAGGAATTCTACTGGCTGAATGGCCTTCTGAAAGATCATGTAACCAAATTGTCATCAAACGATCCTCATAACATACTCTCTGGAGTACCCCAAGATCCATGTCACAAACGTAATCTGTTATGAACACTAGCACAGGTTCCACTGGCCAAACTGACAACTTCAAAACATTCCAGGCATATAACAAAAATTCTTCTGAAGGTGATAAAAACTGCAAATGAAAAGACTACCTATGCGGTTAAAACATCCATCCACCTTCTTAAGTACTTTTAAGAGCAAACAGTCTTCACATTTTAAGCACCCCCCCAATATTAGCAGCATCCATTGGCACCCTGTTTTTCTGCTGCAGTGTCAACAGAAAGTGCTCTCTTTCCTCCAAAAATTCTGATGTTAGTGCGAGTGAGGCTGATGGGATTATGCTTTGTATTCCATTTTGTATTTTTTCACAAGTTTCCACATACTGGGTTTCATCCAGGATTGACACATCTGCCTGTCCCTTTCCAGCCAAGGTTAACCTATGCCTGTCCACTTGCAGGCAATGTTTTTAATCTGACAGCCCTTGGTGCTATCTGAACCCTGAGCCCATATTTCCACTTTGCCCAATATACTGGAAGGAAATGTGAAGATTTGTTCACAAGTGTTACAGATTTGTGTTCAAATCTGGAGGGCTCAATTTTGAATGAGCAAAAACTGCTAAGACCAGCTGACTGGATGAGACATTTAAACTGCTCTTTTGCACAAGGATTCAGCTGCAAAACTAACAAAACATCACACAAGTTTCTAAACAAATACAACACTTGTCCTGTCGAAATGAAAATGATTACATGGCCATGAAACGACAAACTTGATATCCCCTTCCAGCAAAGGCAAGGGAACAAAGAAACATCATTCAATGGACATGTGTACACTGATGACAACGTAACTG